AATTTTTTACAACGGCTACAGTTAGCATTGGATTATTATGTAGACTTTGAAAGTAGCAAATTTGGAATTTCATTTTTAACTAAAAGAACGAAAAAAAAAAAAAAAGAAGAAGGTTAGAAGAGAATGTAAATTTCCGGCAATGGACGGAGAAGGGTAGGTCTCAAGACACCTCACACACGTTCACTTTCGCTTAGAACCACTGACTTCATCCTAGCGGATTAGGCAGTTGGTTAAAAATCGAAAACATGCGACACCGCAATTGCATCAAGGTACAATTTTCATGATACAATCATTTTGTGTTCCACGGCAATAGATTTGATATATGATGAATAAGATTAGATTAAATAATATTATTTTATTATATATTTAATATATATATATAAATTATATTAAAATAATTTTATTTGTTGATCAAAATTATTATTTTTTAAAATTTATATAATTTTAATTTATTGATATAATTTTTAAAAATATAATAAAATGTAAAATTAAATTTTATAAATTAAAAATAATCATCTCTATTTTAAAATGATTGAATCATTTTATATAAAAAAATAATTAAATCTTTTTACCATCCAATATATTTTTTTACATACAAATTAAATATAAGACAAAATGATTATTTTTTTATTATATCCATCATATTATGTGTTAATCTTAAATCTAATTTAAATCTTGATTATTTCTTCATTTGCCTGCTTTCTCCAATCACTGTACACTTTAAGAAATGCATCAAAGATCTAAGAATGTAAAATTTTTCTCTGATTTCAAAGTATTTTGCTTGTAGTCTTTTGTCAAAGGCATACATTTCCTTTGTTTGGATGAAATACATTCCAATTCTTGAATGATATTTTTAGTTGAAAATAAGAATTGAAATTTTAATTTTAGTAATCAATAATCAATATTTTAAAAATTTTAAGCATTAAAAAGAATAAATATGAAAATATAGAAAAATAATATTATTTAATTTAATAATATATAAAATCTAATCATTTCCAAATAATCAGCTATGTTCTAAGATTCAAGAATTGAAATATTATTAATTTACCATAATTAAATAGTGCATGCAAGGCACTCCTTCATCTATATTGGAATATATCTTAATTTGAAAATTAAAAAAAAAAAATCTAATTTAGCCTAAATACTGGGTTTGATCATGACAATAGAGATATTACAAAGATTTAATTTGAATTTGAGCATTTAATCGAAAAAAGTACAAAGAGTAGAAAATTTTTGTTACAAGCTATCATTGTGGGCTTAGATTAAGGCCCAAAACCCACTGAACTTCCTGTTTGGGACTAATTTATTAATTACCACGCCATGGATCAATTTGCAATGTGCTCAAGAAAGACAGAAACAGTAACTTCTTCCATATATTCTGGGCTAAAGGGAACAATTTCGGCCGCTTGGTTAGAATGTAGCAAAGCCTTTTGTATTGGCCGAAACCAGAAGCTAAAATGTAACTGCCTCTACTTTCATCTCCTCATTTTCATGTAGATCCGTGCATAAATACAGGCTCATGCTCATCCTGGCTTCACCCCACCCAAATTCTCAAGGCTAAGTTTTCAGTCAATCACGGTTTCCTTCTGTCTAGAAAAAAAATTGAGATGAATTGGAAGAGTAGGGCTTGGGCTGTAGCCGGCACTGTTACTGCAGTGAAGTTTCAAAAGAAAGAAAACTATGCAGATGGAGCTCCGCAAAGAACCAGCGCCAAAATGTCATTAACAATGTGGGGTCAGCAGTGTCTGCACAAAAAGAGATATCATCATCACTTCCATCATCAACTTCTTTAAGGATGACATCAAAGAGGAGAGACACAGAAGAAATGCGCCATCAATCTGAAGGATCCCCTAGAAAAATTATGTACTTAAGTCGCTGGGGAACCAACTAATACAAGATTAAAATACCCATAACAATGAAAAATAGAGCTCTAGGGAATAAAGCAAATAAATAAATAAATAAAAAGAAGGGGGGGGATGTGCATATATAATTTCTACACATGGGGAGGAGGGAGGCATGAGAAACAGTCAAAATGCGCGGTCCATTCTTTCTTAAGTAGTGCATCCTTACGTTTTGTTCCAATCAAATGCAAAGGTCATGACTCAGCAGATTTTAGGGTTTCATCTTCCAAACACATGAAAAAAAAGGTACAGAAGAAATTAGATTATGTAATGATGTCAACATTTTCCTCTGTTTCTTCCCCTTAAGATTTGAGTGTTGACACATATTTTAGATTATACTTTTTTGGATTAAAATAAATGTGTTGCAGATTTTTTTTTTTTTTTGGCTCAAAATTTGGGGAAGTTAATGTGAATTCATATAATTAATGTACATATTCCTAATGTTTGAAGCATGTATAAGGAAGGACGTGGGTCATTTCATTGACCGTGTCAAATAGATTTGGAAAGAGAAAGTGACTTTATGCAAAAGTTGTTTAATTACATGGCAATTTTCTGATGCCCGAATGTGTGGTGGGTTAAATTATCGCCTGTCAAACATAATTTTGGTATTTGGATGAAATAAAAAAAACGCTTTTCTTGAAAGAGGGCCATGTGGGAATATATATATTCAGTGGATACAGCTGTGCTGCTATTTTAATGCCCCAAATCTAACATCATAGCATATCACTATCTCAATTCACCCACCAAAAGAAAAAGAAAAAGCATTTCAGGATCTCATGGCCGATTGGTCCCTGTTGAAATTTGCATTTCTTGAAGCTTTAATCCATTCTTTTCAAGCATAAGTAGATGTTTCCTATAAATTAAAAAGAAAAAGATTAAAACAGAAATTCATTCAACATCCCCAAATCAAAACAGCCATAACAACAACATTTAAATCTATTCAAAGGATTAGTTTAATTGATAAGAAAATTAGTTTTTTTTTTCTTTTGTCAATTAATGGTTGATTTTGTTAGAAAACATTTTAAAATTTTAATGCATTTGACAAACGTGAGTAAAAATATTAATTTTATCCGTATAAAAATCTGATATTAATTTCTAATTTTGAAAATAAAAATAAAAATAATTATGATTTTAAAATATTCGTCATCAGTTATGAGGATAAAAATAGATGATTTAGAATCCGCCTCATATTTTTATTTTATATGTTTAATAAATAAATAAATAAATAAATAATATATAATTGTTAATTGTTATGTCATTAGGATTTCGAAGTTCATTTTTGGCTTTTCCGTCAGCCATTTCTGCATCTGTTTTCTGCATATCAATTAGTCAATATCTTTTAAGAGGCTAGAGTTGCAAACAGCAGTTATATATGGAGAAATTGGTTTAGATTAGTTCTCCCTTCTCGAGGCAAAAAGGAAAAGGACTTTAACGGATATCTAATGCTTGGATAACACAAAGCCCTTGCCAGCCCGAATTGATGATTATGGACACATGGAGTTGGAACCTTGTCAGCCCACCTGATACAGAGGATTCAAATTAAATCTCCGCTATATAGCAAATCTGCAGTATTTCTAAGAAAAACCATAGGTCCTCAGAGTTTGGATTGGCTTTAGTATTAGATTTCCCTTCTTTTTCAATAAAACATTTATAATTTTTTTTTTTTTTTTGGAATGGCATTGTTTGTTCATGAGTCTGAGTATTTGCAGTTTCACCTGTCATAGTTGTTGAGTAGTGATCAGAATATGCGTAGTTGATTTTGTAGGTTGCAGGCAGCCAAATTGCATTTTTCTGCATGTATAATTTTTATTGGAGCTTGTCTTAGATTATTGAAGGCTTTTATCTGAATTTTCCAAGTAGAGGTCACTCCCAATGGCTTGGTTGTTAGTAGTTGGAGAGCTATGTTTAATTTCCTAACATTATGAAACCCAGAATAGTTTAGTTTCTGCTTTTTTTTTTTTTTTTAATTCATACCCGTTAAATTCTTATGAAAATGAAAATGACTAAAAAATTTTATCCAAAACCGAGTTCAAAGATGAGAATATTGTAAAAAAAAAAAAAAGGACAAAAATAAGAAAAGCTTTACCCGTACTATATCTGTCCTGTCCACATTTCTATACGTGAGAGAGTATGCTTAAGATCACTCGTAGAATAGATTAAATTCGAACAAAATTTAAAAATAACTATACTGTATTATTAAAAAAATAATAAATCTAAAACATTTAAGTGCTTGGCTTATCTTCTATCTACTACGAAAAAAAAAGAAAAAGTTATTATTACAAAGGTTAGTATCTAAGTATACTATCAGGTTAGTTTAAAATCTTACTTATTTGGTCCAAGTCCTTATAGCGGAGCGGAGCGATGCCTCACGTTTTCCGAATAATGCTCCTCAATCAACATTCTTTTTTTTTTTTTTTTTTTTTTTGCAGTGGGAACAAAATGGAAGTAGACTTGACTTGACTTTGTAGTGACAACTGATGCTACAAGTCACTTCCAAAATCTACTGTTTTCTGTGTTAGAGCAGTGAATATCGATCGTTTCAGTTTTATGCTTCCAATTCTTTCATAATCGTCTCATATTTGTCATTTGGAACCACGTCCTTGCTGCTATATTTGTTGATTCTGTTATTTTGCGACGATGTGCTCAACAATGAATAAGAGTCAATTGACTTGATTCTTTCAGTTATTTAAAAAAAAAAAAAAAAGATAATATTTAAATCTATAAAAAAAAAAAAGATAGAAACAAAATTTTGTATGGTCATTCCAAGCAAGAAAATCTAAAAAGATAAAGAGGTAGTTTGCAGAAAAAGACTTAAAACTCTGGAAATGGCAACTAGATATCTGAAAGGAAACAACTGTAATGCTCGGTAGTCATATATGAAATCGGACCTCAAATACACAAATCGAATGCTGCAAAATCCCAAACTTTGAGATCCAAACTTAATATACTACTACTATATACATTGGAATGAATAAGATCCAAAAATTTTTATTAACCTGAATAGACTTATAAAAAATAGCACCGCCATTTTCCAACAGTGAAAACAAGCAACAGCGAAAGTTCGTGTAAGATATAAAACACAAGAAGAAGCCAAACCAAAAACATGTGTTTGCAAAGCATATAATTTGTACACGTTGAGGAGCTTTCACCAGCAGTGACAACTCAAAGCCCACCCTCCATACCTGATTTAGAAACATCGTCTAACATTAATCCCCATATCCAATATTTTCCCATTTGCAAACAAAATTCCATCCTTTTTCAACTTTTTGTTTGCTTCTATCTAAACAATTCAATAAACATATCCAAGTTTTCCTGAAAGCCGAAAACGAAAAAGAAAAAGAATGGGTTTGGATGAGGGGAAACCAGAGGGTGAAGGGAAAGTATGGAGTCTTCCTAAAATGCCATTTTGGCAGACGAGTAATGGCAATGAGAAAGGCTCTTCTTCATCTTCATCAATGTGCCAGGGCAACAACAATGTTTATCAGCAAAGCCAAAGTAGTCAGCTTGGTGAAAGATCAATCGTGACGTCTTCAAATGCAGTTTCTTCTATGGCAAAATCTTTGCTTCCTACTCGAAGAAGACTCAGGCTTGATCCTTCCTACAAGTTATATTTTCCTTGTAAGAATCTGTTGTTAGTTTCTTCCTTTAATTGAGATCTTTTTTTCTTTTTTTGTTTTTTTTTTTTGGGGGGGGGGGGGTGGTGGTTTATAGTTCTGCTTTGTTCCTTTATATTATCTTTTTCATATGGGAGTCTCTTGGAGAGATCTTTTTGGCTCCTTTGGTTTGGTTTCCATTGCATGATTTTGTTAGTTATTGGAGTTGAAGGTGTTCATTTACTTATTGCAAATCTGGGCCTTCTTTGCTTAATTCTCTGGAACTGTAAATTGATCCATACTGGTTCACTTGATTAGGACCGTTTTAAATGATTTAATTGCTGATTGCTTGATCTGCAGTTTCTTGAATCGATATCTTTTTTCTAATTGCTTTCTTTACTTTGTCTGATATATGTTTTTGAGTTTGAGAAGGATTTAAAATGCCAATTGCTAATTCAGAAAGGATCTAATTCAATTGCTAAAATTGAGATTCTTTCTTACATTGAATCGCATTTTGAGTAACTCAAATTTCATGGCTAGTTATTGGCTAAATGCTGCAAGTTTATTTCCTCACGGTCCAGAGAAAAAGGTAAAATTTTTATCTCCAGTAACTCGTTTGAGTTACCATTGACAAAAATGTTATATATTCACTGGTTTGATCAAATTGATCCATTTGGAGGTGGTAGTAGCTACTGTATAAGGAGCAGATTGTGACAAAACCATTGTTTCCTCTTTGATTGTCTCAATTAAGTCTTCGGCTATCACATCATTATCATGTTGCATTCAATGACTTGAGTCTTAACTGGGTTCCTGTCTTCTTGAGACTTGCCTGTTACTTGACTTTTACTAATCAGTTGTTTGCTTCATCCCAAGTTTTCACTTTTGAATGATTTCACTTTAATATAGTGGGTAAAATTTTATTTGGAAAAATATTGGTGTTCCCTTTTTTTTTCTTTTTTTTTTTCTCTCTAATTGCTGCTTATAAGTAATATTAGTGTTTTTCTTGGTGTTTGACATTGAACTTGTTCATTTTATAGATGAACCAGGTAAACAGGTGAAGAGTGCCATTGGCATTAAAAACACTAGCAAGTCTCTTGTAGCTTTCAAGGTATGGAAGATGTCCTTATCAATTTTCCTTTATACCTGTGTTTGATGTTGACGTCTGAGGTGTGGTACACATGGTCATGTATGTCACCTGTGTTTGATGTTGATGTATGAATTGTGTTACACATGCCTTGTAAGTCTTATTGGAAGACACGTACAAGTTGCTTATGGATCTAAATGTCAGGTAACTTTTTTTGCCAAAATGAAATTATGCAAATATTGAATGGAACTTAGGATAAAAACACATAACCACATTGTGAGCACATATATTATATGAAATCAGTTTCAAGTAAAAAAGTTTCTCGGCATAATATTCCCAGTTTTCTTCATTGTTTAAACTGCAACAAAAACAAGTAGCTAGTGATACTACATTTATTAGGACCATCTAACTGGTGTCCTTGTGGTTCCTACAGTTCCAAACTACTGCACCAAAGAGTTGTTACATGCGACCTCCGGGAGGTATACTTTCTCCTGGTGAATGTCTTGTTGCAACTGGTAATGCATCAATTTTGTTATCCTCTTATTTTATGTGCCTCACCAGTCATGTCTCTTTCTTCTTATCTTGTTTTGTTCCTTCTTTACACATTTGAGATTGGCAGAATGCTGTAATGAACAAGGTTTTAACGAGTTTCTCTCCTGACAAACAGTATTCAAGTTTGTGGAACCTCCGGAGAATAATGAGAAACGAATAGAACAAAAGAGCAGGGTTAAATTCAAGATCATGAGCTTAAAAGTGAAGGGAGAAACAGATTATGTCCCAGAACTGGTATTTTTTACAGGCTTGTTATTTGACCTCAACTCTTGATTTTAACACATTTCTGTCAGCATGATTTGGCAAACTAAATTAATGAAATAATAGTATTTTTATCATTGGAAGTGTCATCTTTGTGCGAAGTGAAATAAATTATTCCAAAAGAAAACTTTCATTTTGTCTGATGAGTTTGTTGGTCAAAATGTTCTAGTATTTGCATTTCCGCAGAAAGAAAAGAGTAACTTTATTTTGAGGCAGTTTTATTTCTTCTTCGTGGAGCGTGTGTGGATTGGTTGAGATCTTAGAGATGGGGCTTGGTTCATTATTTGGTAGATTTGTTAAAACTTACCATTCATGTTGCGATGAATTGAAGTACGCCATTTGTCTATAGAATAAATAAGTTCTAGTACTCAGTTATCTCTTTTATAACATGTGTTGCTGCACTCATATGTTATTTGTTTCTTGAACTTTACGGACTTCAGTCTTGAACCAGAAAGTTTATGAATGTTGTAACCAGAATAATGGCTACAAAACTATAGTGCTATTTGGTGCTAAGGCTTTGACAATAACTGCAGGAAATAGTTTCTTACTCCTTAAATTTTCACACTTAGTTGTCAAGAGATCTAAAGTGGGAACTGAACCTAATCCTACAGAGTATAAACATGTTGCTCTGTGTACATGGATCTGCTCCAATTACTTGTACAGTATGATTCAGATATAGAGCGCAGAATTGGCTTCTTAACACTGAATTACATTATATTTCTAGCCTGTAATATGGGGCATCAATTACAGCCATCTCTTAGGTTAGTTCCATTTTGTTTCTCCATCGTTCTTCCTTATGATTTAATGATCAAAATTATGTAATATTTACAATAAAAAATTGTTTGTTTCTATTGGCTGACAGTAACTTCTGCAAAATTTGCAACAAAAAAATGCATGTGATCTTAGCTTAAATTTTTTCTTAAATGTCCATTTGTTAAACCATTTGCTGAAACTAAAGCATAATAAAGTATAAACCAAGTTATCTCTTTTTTTACTTTATGTTAGTTACATTCAGATTGATGTCCAGTATTGTAATTTTGAACAACTATTAAATGTTTAATCATGAAGAACCTGGTTCATGAGTTCTACACCGACAATATAATTTTTCATGTCAAGCAATTCTGCCATGCTACACAAATACTGAAAATGTGTCATATGACAATTTTGCACAGTTTGATGAGCAAAAGGATCAAGTTGCAGTCGAGCAGATTCTACGTGTAGTTTTTCTTGACCCAGAACGCCCTTGTCCTGTAAGTAGTCAACACGTAATATTGGATGACTCCTTCATTTCCTGTTTGTTTTCTTGTCTGTTTTTTCCATTTTTCAAAAATCTTTTATAATCGCTGAAGGACTATTGTGTCTTTCTCTTTCAAGGCAATGGAAAAACTTAAATATCAACTGGCTGAGGCAGAGGCTGAGGCTGCACTTGAAGCACGCAAAAAGCCTCCAGAAGACACAGGACCACGTATAGTTGGGGAAGGACTTGTTATAGATGAATGGGTGAGGCACTCAACTTGATGAGTTCCCTATCACCATCCCTTACATTCTGTTTTGACTAACTGAAGTTAATATTTCCTTCTACATTTTCTAACATTTGATCCTGTTCTGATTTTGCTTTGTAGAAAGAACGGAGGGAAAGATACCTAGCTAGGCAGCAGGTTGAAGGTGTTGATTCTGCATAGAAGTGCAACCTTTCTATTGCTTTGTGCCTTGGACACTTCTTTTCTTGAGCTGAAGTTTCCATTTTGTGCGGTTGAGCTCTTTTCTAATTTGTCACCGTGTTGATGTGATCAAGATGGGACTCGAAAAAGAGGTAAAATGTAAACATGTTCGTTGCTGTTAAATTTTAGCTGAATTCCATTTGGTTTAAGATAATTAAAGGGTTTTCCCCTTATTTGTTGTAGATAATGGGTTTTCTATTAGTAACCAAATTGTCGATTTTGGCAGAACAAAGTTAGATAATGGGGTTCCTCATTGTGGTTTTCCTCTAGTTTTATGAATTACACTCGAGAAACTCAGTAATTTGGAGCTTTAAAAAGCCAATTGCTCAAATGAACACATGGAAAAGTATATGCATAATAGTAGTGGGGCCCAACATTGTTATCGGTTCCGGCAAAGCAATCAAGAAAAAAGGTGTTGATTAAGATGCTTTGGTTGGTTCTCACATGCAATGAGGAGTCACCATTATTAGCGTTGTCTAATGTGGTGATGCCTGATAGGTTGAAGGCGGGCAAAAATCCTGTTTCATTTTTTTTTAATTATATGAACTACTGGAAAATAGATTTGCCTCTAGATACGGTTTTGATTTTCTTGGTGGTAATATACTCCACTAACCTCAAATTAACATTTCATACAGTGACTTCACTCCGAAACAATATTCTCCCTCTGGGGTCAAAGATATAATTGAAATTAATTAAATATATAAAGATTAAAATTGGCCAATAAATATTATTCTCTATTCCTAATGAATTAGGAATAGCCATTTCTATGGAAAAGTCAGGAATGGCTATTTTGAGTTCTAAAATGAATAAACTATTCCATAATATATATATATATATATATATATTTGCTAAATAATAACCAAGTGATGAAATAACCACCCCACCAGAAATATGATTGGAATGGAATGGAATAACCAACCAAACATGCCATTAGTGAATGGTTAAGATTTGAAGTCCAAAATTTGCCCTCATTGCTTAGCTTTGTTCAATTGCAACCAAAACTAACTCATAGCTCATGTATCTATAAAAAAGCCAAACAAGTCCTAAACCATTAGGTATATAGTAAATATTCTCATCCCAAGAAAGAAATCAAAACAAAAGTAGCAGAGTGGGTAAGAATGATAGTTCCAGGAAAGATCCTATCTTAACAAAATAGAGTAGAATTAAAGATCCTATCTTATAAAATATAGTAGAATTATCCCAGAAGCCAGTGGATTAGGAACTTGTCACTTTTCAACAGAGAATATAATTAAGCCTAATGCAACCAAAAAAAAAAAAAAAAAAAGGGAAAATGCCTAATTCTACAAGCTCTGCTTCAGCAACCTGCTTGTTAAAGCACCTGATAGGACCAAGTCAATGAGCAATTAAAAACTCTTGATCTGCCTTTTTATTTTTTTATTTTTTAATTATAAATTGTTAGCTTTCTAAGGAAATCTACAATCTGATCTTTGAATTCATTATGTTTTGCCAAACACAGATGAAAATGATATTTTAAACAAGAATGAAAAAGCTAAAGCATAGTGTTTCACTCACTATCACTCTACCATTATATGTATAAGGTTGTTGTCCTTCTTAACTTACATGTGTAAATTAAATCAACAAATCAAACTAGATGATGTGATTTTTGGTTAGTGATAAAAAAAATTTGTTGACAGGCTATAGAGCTGAAATGGAGAATGTATCATACTCATCGCAAAAATAATATTTGAGGATGCGTTTTAATGCTTAAATCACCTTTATATGTAAGAACGAAAGAAACAAGAGACAGCATAAAGATAACTAAAGAAAGCAGAGAGAGTTGCGTGAAACATATGTTACTTGCTTAATCTGATTTTCCCAGTTATACTTTTAAAAAAGATTATGTGATTAATTAGATTGCCATAAGTAAGTCATGATTGCGTAACAATCAGACCATTAATTTATAATAATTAAGAGAAGAAATCAACTTATGTTAATATAAAATTTTTTTAATTATATATATTTTTAATTATTGATTTTAATAAATTTAAAAATGAGATTAAATTATTTTCTTTTTAGATTTGTTTCTCTCATCTCTTATATCTATTTAAATCAATAATTAAAAAATATATATAAAACTAAAAAATTTCAAAATTTATGTAAGTTGGTTTCTCTTCTACAACTAAATAAAAAAAATCATGATATAGAAAGATAATGTCTTGATAAATATTTTACATATTAATATATCTTCTTACACTGGTATTGAATAAATAGTAAATATAGGGGTTATGATTATGTTGTATCCCTGGTGATGGTAGATTAGCAGTAAAAAGGGAAGTGGCAGTATTCCAGTTCCAAATTATCCCCTTTTCTAAATATAAATGTAACTGTTTGTTTTGCACTTTGAAAATTGAAATGATGGAAAGTTGCCAAAGTATGTGGACCTTATTCGAATTACATATTTTGTAGTTTTTGAGGAAACAATGGAGATTGGGGGTCCATGATTACTAATGGACAAGGACAAGACAGATGACAAATTGTGGTAGACTTGGAACATTGAATCAGTAAACGAACATTTAACATTATGGTACTTTATTTGATCGATCCTAATTTAAAATTATATATGATTCATCGCAGTTTTATTTTGGATCCATTCCCGGTGAATTTTTTTTTTATAATTTTTTTTGTTGTAATTGAAAAGTTGGATGACTGCTTTCATATATTTTTTTAAGTATTTTATTATTATTATTATTATTATTATTATTGTTATCGTCGTCGTCGTCGTCAATGACTATTTTCTCTTATCGTCGATTTTAATAATAATAATTAAGAAACAAGCAAAATAAAGAATAAAGATAATTTCTTTTTTTGCCAATAAAAATTAATTTAGTAGCAAGAGATTTTAAAATTTTAAAATTTTAGGTTCAAGTTTTATATTTATGAATTTAGTTTAAATTTACATTTAATTTATTTAATTATATTTTAATTAATTAATTTTTTAATTTTTTATATAAATATAATACTTGATTATAATTATAAATTTTCTCATACTTATAATTTTATAATAAAAAAAAACAATTAATTTTTTCTATATATTTAACAATCCACTTTTTTTTTATGTAATAATAAAAATATCAAATGAATCGTACTAAATCAACACAATTCATTTAAGTATTAATTCATTGTAAACATGTTTGGAGTCTACTAAGTTAATTTTATTGTATTTTATTATATTATTATTGTTATTAGTATTATTATTATTATGATATTGTACATAATTTATTATTATTATTATTATTATTATTATCATTATTATTATTATTATTATTTAAAAAAAAGTTTAAAATAAAAAAGAGAATAAAAAGAAAAGAAAATTGGTGATTCAATCTTGGATCCGTCGGAGCATGATTCTTGGTGATTCAATCACAGATCCGTTACAGCATGCTTCTTGGTGATTCAATCCCAGATTTGTTGGGCATAATTCATGCAGAGAATCAAGCATATACAACCGGTAATAAAGAGCAAAGAATGGAAAAAATTTAAGAGGAAGGAGCCTGAAAAATCAATCCACACCCAAAAGCCAACACACAGCCTCATATACAAAACCTAGAAACCTATACCCAGGATTTCATCAGAAAACAAGCAGAAAACCAGCCCCACAATTTCAGAAACGAAGTCAACCGCCCTTTCCTTTTCCTCCTCTCTCAAACTGCAAGGATTTGGGCGAATAGGAAGCAGCACTCTTCCTTTGTCCAAATGCCGGCCGTCCACCCTGTGGCGGGATCCCTTACCTGAACTCAAGGCCTTCGCTTTGCCGTGATTGTCGCCTGTTTCAATAAGATTGTGACTAGGCAGCTCTTAAAGGGAGTTCTGGACACTTTCAGCAAATATTCAGTTAATGAAGAAGACATTGATGCTGTTTGGGTCCCGGGTTCTTTTAAAATTGGTATTGTTGCGAAAAGGCTGGGAAGTTTCAAAAATATCACGCAATTGTATGCAGTGGTGCTGTGATAAAAGGCATTAAATCGAGCTGGTGGCAAATCTATGAATAAAGGCTGCTAAAAATTGGTTCTACTGTGAAGAAATGAAGATCCGCTTGAAAGCCATACCCGACCCGTTTGACCCAATGTTCATTTGGCAAATTTTTATTTATGATTTTATCCTTTTTTTTATCATTTTATATTTAAAGTTTTTATTTTATTTATTTTATTTTTAGTTTTTTATTATTCATTTTATTATTTTATCGGGTAATTTATTATTTATTAAATGTGTTGTAAAAAATTCCTTTTATCATTTCATTTTTAGAAAACAAAATTAAAAAATCTTTTCAAAAATAGATCTATGAATTCCACTAAACTATTGGAGGAATTTTATGGATCTAAATTTTATAGGATCCATCAAATTATTGGATAATTTCATGAATAAATATAAAAAAGAAAAAAGATATCAAAAAATAATGTTATCCTCGAAACTATAAGAAGATTGCTTCCTAAATTACGTCATACTAAACTATTAGAAGACTTAATGAATTTTTTTTTAAAAAAAATTTTTGTAAATATTTTTCAAATAAAATCTTATCAAACTATTGGGAGACTTTACTAATTTTTTAAATAAAAAATTATAATAAATCTGACGACGGAGCCTCTTCAAAGTAGGACACTAGTCTCTATAAATACTTCTGACGTGAAGAAATTATCTTAAATTGTTACTAAACTATTAATATAATTTTAAGACTAATTTTCAATATTAAATAATTTGATAAATTACAAACATGATCAAGACTTGGATAATTTGGAATCAAACTGATACCATCTTTAAAATGGGCGCTATGAAAGTGTTATAATCTTTCTCATGCGTAACCGAATCTGATTTTATGGATCAGATTTGATCCTGTGGCCAATCACACTTAAACAAAAAAGATTGGTAGCAACTTTTCTTATCCATGTCTAGCGATAGGTCAACAAATCTATATATTATGACAGTTTGGATATTCCACTAGAGACATCGAGAGTTAGGCCAGTAAACAATTTCTTATTATCATAGCCTTGCTTAATAAATTTGAGATTTTTTACTTCTTTTCATTGCTTACACTTGCTTAATTATTTTATTTATTTTTTACTTCTTTTCATTGCTTATACTTGCTTAATTATTTATTTATTGTATATATATTTATTATTCATTTGTATATACATAACATAAGCTCTCAACTCGAGCTCTGGGAGTGAAGTACCTATGCTCTTGTGAGATTTTATATCTTTGCATGGGCCTACGAAATACTCTCACTCAAATTGAATCTTTTTCGTTTATAGCTTATGATGGGTGAAAAACGGGTGCCTTACTAGTCTGTGATTGACTATGATATAAAGAGCAATTTGAGAACCTTTTAGAAGTAATCAAAACTGTATATAGTTAACTTTGAGAGCCTAACCATAGATAGAGCCATGTTCTTCTACCCTTTATAGTTAACCCAAAATTTAGGGTCATGTTGTTATAGTTTATTCTTTTTTTGAGGTGACTAATTGATTTTCTTGTCTTCTTTTTATTTTTTTTCTTTTTATGCATATTCATAAACATACATGTAGATTACATATTATACTTACTAAAT